GTCAATTGGATAGAAGGTCTCTGTTCTGTGCACAATCCTCCTAAATATGAAAATATTCGATAACTTCTGCAGATTTTATCAGTTAAAATTGTCATATCATAAGGAACTCGAATAAAAGTGCTTGCATCAGCTTACCATTGACAAATTATGTTAAAAAAACTTGGTCTGCCACTGCGCACTCTGCCGGAAGTCCTTAGATGAGATAGGTTAGGGGTGTCGAAAGGGTATATTTGGAGGGGTCTCCTAAGGACTTCTGGCAGAGTGCGCAATCGCAGACCAAGTTTTCTTAACTCAATTTATCAATGGTAAGCTGATGCTGGCACTGTCATTCGGGTACCTTACGAAATGACAATGTTAACGGAAAAATCTCAATCCTGCTAAACATGAAAATATTCGATATGTTCTGCAGATTTTTGCCGTTAATATTGTTATATCATAAGGTACCGAATGACAGTGCCAGCATCAGCTTACCATTGGTAAATTGAGTTAAGAAAACTTGGTCTGCCATTGCGCACTTTGCCAGAAGTCTTTGGGAGACCCTCCAAATATACCCTTCCGACACCCCTAACCTATCTCATCTAAGGATTTCCAGCAGAGTGCAGTGGCAGACCAAGTTTTTAACATAATTTTTGTCAATGGTAAGCTGATGCAAGCACTTTTATTCGAGTTCCTTATGATATGACAATTTTAACTGATAAAATCTGCAGAAGTTATCGAATATTTTCATATTTAGGAGGATTGTGCACAGAACAGAGACCTTCTATCCAATTGACCTATACAAATCGAATCTCCTAATCATTACAAGCATTTCATACCAAGGCACCATCAAAATCAAACCAGTGGGGGAAAAGATATAGGCCAGTTTTCATACATTTAACTTACAATTTCACACTTTTTGGTAGGATTGTGTACAATACAGAGACCCTCCTACTCACTGACCTATATGACTCAAAGCTCCTAGTTATGGAGAGCATTTCATATTAAGGCGCCATCAAAATCAAACCTGGGGGGAATAAGATATAGGTCAGTTTTCATAGACCAAACCTCCATTACAAACATTTTGAAAGGATTGCGTTCAAAACATAAACCATCACCCAACTGTCCTATATGACTCGAAGCTCCTCATTATGGAGAGCATTTCGTATTAAGGCACCATCAAAATCAAACACGGGGGAAAAAGATATAGGTCATTTTTCATACACTGGACCTACAACTTCAAATGTCTGAAACACTAGGATGCGGCAAGTTTAGGCCTGGCAGACCTTGTGATCTATTGTCAGAGTGATCTTGGCTATTATGTTGTGGTGGTCGCGTCGTGGTACCCGATGAGATAGTTTAGGGGTGTCGGAAGGGCATCTTTGGAGAGGTCTGCCAAGCACTTCCGGCAGGGTGCGCAGTGGCAGACCAAGCTTTTTTTACATAATTTTTCAATGGTTAACTGATGCCAGCACTTTCATTGTGGTACCTTATGACATAATTTTTACGAAAAAATATCTTCAAAAAATATCGATTATTTTTATATTTCTGCAGGATTGGCTCTGGCAGACCTGGGTCATACGACTTGTTTAAGTCTTGGTTGACGATCCAAACCTAGCCTATCGTGGTACCTTATGAGATAGCCACTTACCCCCTGGGCTCTCCAACTAGTAGGTCTGCCAGAGCCAATCCTGCCGAAAGATGAAAATAATCGATAATTTTTGATAATTTTTCATCTGTAAAATTTATGTCTAAAAATACCCGAATCAAATGCTGGCATCAGTTTACCATTGATAAATTATGTAAAAAATCTGGGTCTGCCACTGCAACGAAAAGATTTATTAAGGGTGCCAGAAGGGCACTTTTGAAGTGGTCTGCCAAGCACTTCCAGCAGAGTGTGCGCTGGTAGACCAAGTTTTTTTACATAATTTTTTAATGGTAAACTGATGCCAGCAATTTGTTTCGGGTACTATTAGACATAAATTTTACAGATGAAAAATTATTAAAAAAATAACGATTATTTTTATCTTTCGGCAGGATTGGCTCTGGCAGTCCTACGTCTTTCGAATTGTTTACGTGTCAGTTAACGTTCTAAATTTAGCCTATTGTGGTACCCGATGAGATAGGCACTTCTGCAGTCGGCTCGCCCACTAAAATATTTTGTTTCTCATTTCGACGAAGAGTTGTTTTGTTTTGTGAGCAGAACATACCTACCGATACAATAATGTGTGCGTACGTAGTTAAAATAAATTAAACGCTGTATACCTAAGGCCCTATTAAATTCAATGCAAATATCTGCAGAATGTGTTCTACTCGTGAAACTGAACAACAAACTGTTCAAAACATATGTATTGGATATTTTTGGATGGCATGTCCAAAATTAATTCTTCATATTTCGAAAAAAAATTACTAAAAGCGGTTGTTCAGTTTCACTAGTAGAACATATCCCGAAATTTTTTGCATTGAATTTAATAGGACTTTATACCTCATTAAATCATTATACCTTAGGAATATGATAAGGATTAGTCAATAGCAGCATGAGAGTGGTTTAGGATTCAGTGGTTGAGTGGATTGGTTTAAAAAGAGACGGAGAGCTGTCTATAAAAGTCCTAGTTCAATTTTATAACCGTTTTAATTGCAGTCGACAAGATAAAAATGGGTAGACCGTGCACCAGCGACTTTTTCTTTTTAATGGAATAAGTTTTGGTAAAATCGAAAATGTAATGATTCCACTCATTCTTTGTTAGGCAATCACTGTCCATAAATTGCAGGGCACGACAGTCGAATCCCAAAAACATTTGCCAAGGCTTGCTGTTGGTTGTTCATTCATACTAGTCGCCCTGTAAAAATCTGTACATTCTATCGTCTTTCTATGTGGGGGGAAACACTTCTCAACCCCCTGATGTTGGTACTTCATTCATACTAGGTAGTCGCCTTGTAGAAACCTGTACCTACTCTTCTTTTGTCTTTCTATGAGAAGGACACGAAGCTTCCCTCAAATGTTGGTTCTTCACAATCGAACAGTCAAAACTGTTTTTAAATATTATCTTAGACTAAGATCTTAGATAAGATAAATGAGAACAGATTGGTTAAAATATGTTATTTTTATATAATCAATACCAGAGTTTAGCCTAAGTAAAGTAACATTAACAGCACTTTCAGGAATTTATTATACGTATTTCATACAGATATCGATGGTCTTAATTTATTTTACACTCAAGTTTAAGCCCAAAAACCAGGGTCTGCAGGGTCTTTCAAAATTTTGCGGTAGCAATCGTATGAAGATCAAAACACTCCGCTTAACCAGGTTTCCCGAAGACAGCTGCACTGAAATTTACAATCATCAAGTATGTTACTGTTTGGTAAATTTTCTAACTAAGTAATCTTCTATCAAATAATGAAGCCATGCAGAGAAAAACCTACAGTGACTCGTTTTTGGGATTAACAAGGGAACTATATGAGCCGTGTGGTGCCGGCAGAGTAGAATAACACCACCCCCTCTCTTCCCATGGGGGTCGTAAGAGGCGACCGAGGGATAAACCCAACCCAAACAGCCAGGGCCAACCATATTGTGGCGGTTAATCCAACACAAAAGCATTCCTAAGGAGGGTTGAAGTCTGATAAGCGGCCGGCCGGTCGTAAAATTCAGCCAAATCCTTTTGCTTTTGTGTTCAACGGAACGTGTTGCGCCGACCCCAAGTAATTGGGATAAGGGCAGGAAGATGATGATGATGATGAAGGGAGCTGAGATATCTGTTGGCTTTAGGTACACATTATGTAAGAAAGAAGTAATAAGTAGTTTGTTTTATCTGATCAGTAATTAAATATAATTAATACAAATTACCTGCATGTGATTAGTTACTATGTTTTGCATTGGCAAAGCTTGCGGATTTAAACTTTATAATGACTATTTTGCACAAAATATCTCCATAATTTATAATTTATTCATGATAATGATGAAACATTTTATTAATATTATTGAATCAAGAAATCAATTTAATTTAGTCGAAACAAACCTACAAACAAAAATATTTTGATTTTGCAAGACGTCAACTCAATCAATGACATTTACTTCCATAGATTTTGGATTTTATTAGATCATGATTAGTTTGATGAATAACCAAAAAAGTTTTGGTTAAAGAGTTTTATTTACGCGGAAAGGGTATCAAGCCGAAAGGAGGTCAAGGTGAAAATGAAACTAAACAACTTTCCCCATGAAACATTTGAAAAAAAAAACATATTTCGACCCATGTTCCATGGGGGCAGTTGTTCAGTTTCATGAGCACCTTGACTTCCTTTCGGCTTATTATACCCTTTCTGTTACTTAGGTACTGTATATTTGCACAAAGAAATGTTTACTGCAAAGGATTTGGCTTAATTTTACGACCGGCCGTCTACCAGACGTCAACCCTCCTTGGCAATGCTTTTGTGGCAGATTAACCGCCACCATGGTTGGCCCTGGCTGTTTGGGTTGGGTTTATCCCTCGGTCACCTCTTACGACCCCAACGGGAAGAGAGCCTTTGTTCCCACCTGTCCTACTGAGTAGTTCTACGGTAGAACAGGTGGGAACTTTTTTTCCCACTAGTTCTACGGTGGAACAAGTGAGCACATTTTAAGTCCCACTTGTTCTACGTTTTAAAAATAATTATTTTTCATGGAAGATTTGCTTAATGTTGTGGAGTTTTTTGTCAAAAAATACTAATCACATTTACATTTGGAAGCACATTTTTATTGCAAAAAGTCAGTGTTCTGGAACATTGAATGCATGTTAAAGTGGTGTTGGTTTGAATACTAAATTTTAAAACACTTCTCGTGTTAGGTAAACAAACAATTTTTGGAAAACTTGCAAAAATTTCCACGGCAGGCAGGATTTGAACCTGTGACCTTCGGCATCTGTACTGCCGGCGCTCTAACCAACTGGGCTACCGCGGGAATTAGTTGCAAAAACTATCTCTAGGTAGATAGAGCCCATCCACGCGTTAGTGGACAAGATATACTTGCTTAATTCGCAGGTTGGATTAGAACCGCAGAAGCCCAGTTGGTTAGGGCGTCGGCAGTACAGGTCGAAGGTTGCAGGTTCAAATCCTGCCTGCGGTGGTAAATTTTGCAAGTTTTCCAAAAATTGTTTACCTAACACGAGAAGTGTTTTAAAATTTGGTATTCAAACCAACACCACTTTAACATGCATTCAATGTTCCAGAACACTGATTTTTTGCAATAAAAATTTGCTTCCAAATGTAAATGTGATAAGTATTGTTTGACAAAAAACTCCACAACACTAAGCAAATTTTCCATGAAAAATAATTATTTTTAAAACGTAGAACAAGTGGGACTTAAAATGTGCTCACTTGTTCCACCGTAGAACTAGTGGGAAAAAAAGTTCCCACCTGTTCTACCGTAGAACTACTCAGTAGGACAGGTGGGAACAAAGGGAAGAGAGGGGGTGGTGCTATTCTACTCTGCCGGCACAACACAACTGCGAAAGAGCTAAAGGGGTTAAATAAGGAATGAAAGTTTCTAGTTAACTTTTTGTTCTTTTGATAAATGTCGCTGATGCACAAATATTATACTGCGAAAGCTATGAAATACATTTAAGATTTTAAATTATTTGAAACTCGCCCACTAAATGAGTGAAAGCCCAAAAAAACTGAACTATTTTACTTAAAAAAACACAAGAAAAATTGAGGTGACCCCACTTGTAAAATGATTCCATGCGCCTTCCTTTTAGAAGGAAATCTTGTAATAAGACTAATAAGTAATGAACAGCCGTATTTTTCGATTTTTACCTACTTACTTACACGCCCCGCTATGTAGTTATAATCTTATAATAATATAACCTTTGATATAACCTCATGTTTACGTTCTATTTTTGTTAGTAAAAACGAATTTATAGACGAAACGAATATTTATAAACTTTATCGCTTTTTTTGACATTTGACATAAAATGCACATAGAAAGCTATTCTAATCTGACATCACTTTTATGTCATATTCGTGTCCCTTTTCGGATAATTCATTCATTTTTGAATGAATGATATTCATTTTTTGACAAGCACTCACACATGTGTAAAAAATATTTGTTATACATTGATTGTTTTAAAGCAAACATATTTTTGGTCAGTACAAAATGTTCAATGTACTGCTATGTTAGAGCGTTTTGTCGCCGATGAACCAGAAACACTCATGACGTTTTCCTTGACGCGCAAATGACACATCGCGAACGTGGCAGATTTGGGGCCCTGGAAACACGTGTTTTCTTTTTTGACGCGAAATGTTCTCTTTTTAGGGTTTCGTAATCTACTAAAAACCCTTACAGTTTCGTCAAGTCTGTCTGTCTGTCTGTATGCCGCGCCCTCATATCTTCGTCAGTTTTAGAGCTATTAACACGTTCAAAGCGGCGGCAATTTTTGGATACTTTCCGTTACAGCGGGACCAGGCGTATTTCACCTGGTGCTAAACTTTCCGTTGTGGCGGTACGGGGTCTGTTAAACCTGGTAACGTTAAAAAAACTTAAATGCTTTTTTTGACATAATTTAAAATGAAAAGCAAAAAAATATCATTTGAAATCTTTAATTATGAATTGATTTTTATGAATCTGAAGGCGTACGTGAATAGCCAATTTAGTTTAGGAGCTGTAGCTAAAACAAAATACCGGATCTTTTGAACCTGGTACCGCACTGCACACGGGCAGTTTTGAGCAAATTTTAGTGTTGGGAAATCAAAATATCGATAACTTTTTGTACGTTTTATTAAAATAGCAATGAAGTAAGTTTAATATTTTTCATTAAAGCATGGGAGTAGGTACTGATTTTCACACTCAACACATCTCGTCAAACTTTTTACTTTTACGGCTTCTTTGCGGTTTGGATTGCCTCTCAATTTTGCATAACACCCAACACAATTATTTTTTACGACCTTTTATAAATTGATCTTCTTGTGCGATCTTTTTTATCGTAGCCTTATGGTTAAAAAAAAGTTCACGCATGCATTTTATCGAATACTATCACAACACTAGCCGCGCGAAGCTCGCGTGTAGTGCGGCACCAGGTACTCGGGGAAACCAGGCGTATTCTACCTGGTGCCGCACTGCATTAACATTTTAATTTTTCAGTGCGGAACCAGGTCTAAAAAACCTAGTTATATGCTGACCACTTCTTCGATCTCTAAGTTAGTAACACAACATAAATATATATTTGTCTCCTACCCACAACGATCAAATCTAAAGTTATGCCCTCCGCACGACAGAGAAGTCTATACTTTTCTTAGCCGCACGCTAAGCAAGTCATAAACCACGTCTTTTTGACCTGGTACCGCACTGAACGTGTTAACATGAAATGGTGAGAAGATAGATCGTGTTGACCCAAATATAGAAATGTTAAGAAAAAATTATATTAAATGTTTTTTGGACCCCCTCCAATACAAGTGAAAGGGGGACAAAAAAAATTTTTTTCTTCTGTAATATTGAGTAGGGTATAGTTAAATAGGTCTTTTAAAACTAAGGTGAGGTTTCTTTGAAACAAAGTCACTGAAATGTTTCTGTCACGAGATATTTGCTTTTAAAAAGGGCGTTTTTGACCCATAATTTGTTCCAGCTGTAACTTCTAAAGTATAAACGCTAAAATTTGAAATAAATATGGAATATAGCTTACAATCTGAGGTTACAATGACGAGTTTCGGAGTTTTGTTCAGACGGTTACTATAACGGATATTGTACCCGTAAAGGTTTCAGAAAAAAATGAGTTTTTCTATTTGCGGTTGGTCATCATACTGCTGCTAACAAACCAGCAACAAAATTAAGATTGTAATGCTGAAAAACCTGATATTTAAACGTTGACTACGAAACCCTATTTGTGGGCGTGTCTGACACGCTCTTGGCCGGTTTTTTTCTTTCTCTGTTTGCATGAAACACCAAATCGTCGAACGACCCGATGAACGCTAGGGTCAGTTTTACAACCGCCTACTACAAGCAGCTGTAAGACTTTGACATGGTTTGGAAACGAGCGCCTTCTAAGTAATGTAATCATAGACCAACAGCCGGGACCGATGGCTTAACGTACCCTCCTAAGCATGGAACCGTCTTGATCCATCTAGCGAAATACTTCTTTTTATACTTGAATAACATTGGGAAGCAGTGTTTACTTACATTGCATTGAGAAACACTAAATTGAAGTTCCAAGTGCAGTAACAATAACACTAGCATCGTGTAACTAGGAGCAGTCGTGCCGGATAATGTCGCAGACAGCGGTGCACCTGGGAAGTTCACACAGTTGTCGGCACAAATCTAGAGCCTATGTTTGTGAAACAGTCCTTCGAGAAACAGTCACCAGTGGTCTATCAAAGGATATATGTATAGACCGGAAAAATACGACTATACTTCGTTGTGGTTTCTGACAATATCCCGGTTTCTGACACAAATCAATACAATTAGTGGTCTGAATTTTGGAGTAAGTTTTTAATAGGTATGACATCATTGTTTTTCCACACCCGTTATGTCATATATCGCCAGCACATTAACCTACTACTTAAAGGGATCCACTTATATTGTTTCTTTACAAGTACCTAAATAATTCAACCCAAATGTCTAAACAGCTTCGTCTACACACCAACAGGAAAACTACAGTTCTGACCTATGTACTACTTTTTTATTTATAAAGTACTCAATCTACAAAAAGTTCCAGCACCAAGTGGTTCATACATAAGTGATGAAAACAAACTGTTCCACTACAGCTGAGACTTTGAGATCGATTTCTTCGCTATTTTTGTAGTAGATCGTGCAGTCTTCTCAAACGATTGACGAGAGCTTGAAGATGTCTTAGTGTTAAATATTCAAGTAAGTTATTTTCAGAAGTTTCCAAAAATTACACGAGTAATAAGACCATGACGCAGTGATAAAGTGGAATACGAAGCAAAAACAACCTTTTATACAAAACGATCAGCTGCCTGGCTTTGTATTTGAAAGGGTATCCAACAAGCCAAAAGGAGGTCAAGGTACTCATGGAACCGAACAACTTGGAGTTCCCATACAAAATCACCGATCAGCTGATTGATTTTCTACGGGAAGGTCTAATTTTTTTTCTAATGTTTCAACTTGACCGTTTTGGTTCCTCGCGGTATAAAACAATCTAACTTTGCTTGTCGTTTCCCAACATATAATTTTGTTCTATGGAGAAAATTATTCAGTTTCATGGTCTCATCAATCACGCCTGCAGGGTTTTCAGTACACCATTCCTTTCACCTCTATGTTTGACTACCTACTTTATGGTAGGTATTATAAGAAGACAGGAAAACGCTTTCCTTATTCCATAAAAAGATCTCATGTTCAGAGGGAACGCTGCTGCTACATCCCAGACAGCAATCTGTTTAATACATAAATAACTAATGACCCGATCGGAAATCGAGCCGGTCGAATCCCTTGCTAATTTTAAAAGGGTAAGGAATGCCATAGGCTGGTACCAAGGGTCCGATAACTGTGAGGAATTTCATTATTACTCCGATCCTTTCAGTCGTTTAGCGAAAAGGACAGATTTTTCTAAAGTATTCCTCAGGGCGGAATAAATTTAATGTTGAGTACACAGAGACACTGGGTGTGACAGTGACTGGATGGTGAAAACGAGAGATCGTGGCCTTTGGCGTACCCTAGGGGAGGCCTATGTCCAGAAGTGGACTACTATGGGCTGATGTGATGGATGATGATGTGATATGATGACTTAGAGACACATTATGGAATTAATACACAAATGTGTTCATAATGAAATGAATTGTTTGTGTTTCTGGTCAAAATATTTGTAGTGGTAAGGTATAGGTATAAACTTTGCAAGATTTGTAAGTCTACTCACATACACAAATGACTTTTTTCAGCTGTTTTTAAATTTGAGTTACCTACATACCTATTTGACTGTCCTCGCAAACTTTAGTTTCGGGTTGTGTGTTTCTCCACCTGTGACGTCTTAATTTAGAAGGTTTTATTTTTGCTTAATTACTTGTTCAAGAGTCAAAGAGATATCTTAACTTTCCTCGTCAAAGAACAAAAATAAATCTTAAACTGTACTTATTAAAAAAGTACCGACACAAAAACCGAAAGTTATCTGCGCCTCCCAT